ATCAGATATAGTGGCTCAGCTTGCACTCTAGTATCGGCATAGGACTATAGTGTGTATTAGTCCCAGTAACAGTTTTACAATTGAACTCCTGATCCTCAGTCGTTAGGTCCCTTAACAGCTTCAACTAGTATACTTTCTCAAACCACTGCTAGTTGCAGTGGCTCAGTCTACAAGCCTAGTTCTAGTATAGCATGTCAGCCTTACGCGTAGCAGTACCTTTTGTCAGTAGTAGTCTTAAGTAGAACTCCTGATCCTCAGTTGTCAGGTCCCTTAACAGTTATAGGTCCCTTAACACTCACCATATCATTGATGATACACTGCTCAATTGGTATAACTTACCTTCAGGCATATTAGACATCCCAGTGGTAGAGAGGAGATGTGCAAAGAAGTTTGCATGCATGCTATGTGATAAATGAAGACCCTTGAAAGAGGGTATTTTATAGATGGTCTGTCAGAAATTTGAAATCACAGCTGTCTGAAGTTTGAGGAGAAGACCCTGAATCTGCATGATATACAAGCCATCCAGTGCCTAGTGCCAGAAGACAATAGCAGTGTTGAATCAAGGCCACATCACACACAGAGCTTGGAGATGCACATGAGGGGTTTGTGCCAGACCTAGAAGCACAAAACTTAGTTAGTCAGCAAATGGTTTGTTTCTGATATGGTGTGGTTCACCTCATGATTATGGTAGCAACAGCAAATTTCTTGAACCACTCCATACACCTTTGCTGTAATTGTCCTCACAACATCTACCATAGAATGGAGAAAAGTGCTCACCAGTCATGTTGTGTTCAGATGTTAAGGGCCATGAGTATCATGTGTACAAGTTAGCCATACCACATACATGACACATCATTCATTATCAAAAACTCTAAGCAATGAGCAAATAGATTCTAAGTTGTGGCTAGTGAAAGAACAGAACTCACCACCTCATCAGCTTGATACTAAAGCCCCCACTCCATGTTGCAGTGAGAGTAAAGGTTACCACTGTAAATTGAATGTGGGGAAGACCCACAGCAAGATGTAGGTTGAACATAAAGGTGATGTAAATGCCTTGCCATCGCTCACCATAATTGCAGCAACTCACAAGGCTACATAATATTTTTGGCTGCATTGTGAAGTCAATACCAACTGAACAAGTTATTTTGTAGCCTATATATTATGACACTATGATTCCTTATAATAGCCAATGCTAATAATTTTCTGATAAATTTGTATAGCCTCTACATACAGCTTATCAAGCTTTATCAACCCTCACCATATTGGACTGTCTGAATCAATGATGCAAGGGTATAACATTTTTCAACTGTTTTGCTGATGGTGCACTGGTTGAACAGGTGCATAGATGTCTGCTGGTGTGAATGAATGAAATGTATGTATGCATACAGTATAGTTATGTACTAGTTGTATCACAGGCTGTGTAGCAATTCATAGCATAACGAACATATGACCATTTCCCCAGCAAGGAGAGATCCATGGTTTTTCAGAGAGGAAAAACTCAGTTCAATTGGCATCTTTCCGATTCCTTTACAGCATCTTTCTCAGATTGCAAGAAACTGGTGATTTATTTGTTGTAAAACTGATGCAAGGGAGTAACATCAACTGCAAGTTTCACTTTGTGGACCATCAAAAAATGTATGTCTACTGATCTTTCCATCAATCTGACTTACAGTGCAGCCATTACAGCTACAGGCTGAGCATTCTGACTATCGACGGCGGTCACTTCCTCACTGTTACCCTTAGCTGCCTGCGGGCTGAAGCTAGTCACCCAGGAATCCATCGCTCGTCTACTTTTCGGTAAGAGGATCCGTGGACCGCTGATACCAAGCCGGTTAGCGAGTAGGTCGACCATATCATTCAGTCTGCCCTTGTCGTCCTGTAATCTCCTCTGTACGGCTGGACCACTTCGTCTGCTATCTCCGCGCGTTTGGGCGATAGCGGCAGCGAAGATTGTATCCAAGTCGTCTAGTGCACTCATACAGGCTTCTCGTGCAACGCGTGCGCGGTCATGCTCCACTGGGGAAGAGGATTTTAAGATCCGTAACGATGCCTGTGGTGACGACGGATCGGTGTGGGCTTCCAGGTTGATGTCGAGTATGTACGTGCCAATGAGGGCGAATGCCATGGTATATGAGATTCTGCCCATTCCATAAAGCCGCTTGGTTTTCCCCGCGACCTTGGTCTGTAGTAGATTCTGGAACCACATCAATCAACATCAGAACGGAAGGATAGCACTCAGTGTGCTACTTACGCTCATGAGCAGGGTGACGTCTTTGCAATCTACAAACCATGCTGCATAAAACTCTTCCTCTAAAATTGTTCCACTCTCACCCTCCATCTTTTTACGGGCAGCCAATATTGCCGTTTGCGTCGCAATTTGTTTCGTGAGAGAGGTCATTCGTTCAAGGCCCCCAGCTTTCTTAATTATATCTTTCAAATGTGATATCGCCTCCGAGTCGCCTGCAATGCATTTTCGGAGCAGCACGATGAAGTCCTCAAGGATGAGCTCGATATGCCTTGTTTTTCGGCGTGGAGGTTGATCCTTAGTTTTTGCTGAAGAAACGCTCGCACTGTTTGCTACATACGATGCGCCAGAAACTTCAATCATTTGTTCGGGTATATGCTCATTTTCACCACGGCCTTCAGAATCCCCTATTGCCACGCGAGATTGCTCAAAAGTACTTAATGATGAAGGCTGCCCTTCACGGGGCGCTGTCGAGTCAAAACAAGATGGCTGAGAACTGACTGGAACGGAGCTTTGTGCAATAGAAGGCAAGCTGGCGACCTGTTGGACAGTTCGTGAACCATCCATAGTAAATGAATGATCACTTCTGACAGATGAAATATGATCCTGAGGACGTGTGATGGCAGACACGGCTTGCCTAAACGATTCTATGATGATGCATCATGTCAATTAGCCAGAATAATTCCTGACTCCAGCTTACCGTGTTCAGCTGAGGTGAACGAAGCAAACAAAAGGTAGGATCCTGGCTTTTGTGGGTCGCAATTTTGATGATCGAGCTCGATGAGGGCTTGTGCGGGTGGGGCAGGTAAACGTATACGATATACAGAGAATTTAGATGGACCTTCATTTGATGCTGTGCTGATCACTGTTTCTAAAGATTTATGAACTGAAACCACGCCGCTTTTACATTGCCTCAGTGTATAACTCACGAGACGTATCGGGCGGACCTAAGACGGCTTGTGGACAATTTGAACCAATATGGGATTGCATTGAGACAGCAGGATCATCCACACAACTAGACAGTTATATTTTATCTCTTAAGAGATGCGAGCGGTCGTTTGACACACCTAATAGATTGGCTAGTGGTACTCATATGCGCAGGCATGTTTTTATCTGAGGATGCCTCCAAGCATGGAATCGTCCGATCATTTATGTTTTTCCCAGCCTGAAGAAGAGTAACTATGGACGGAATTTCTGCTGACAAAAATCGTGTAACCAATTCAGATTGGACGTTTCGAGTTGTTCGTGGTAATTGGAGAAATTGAGCTACTTACCTTGCGACTGGAGCTCTGGTCTCCTGAGACGCTCTTCTTTCCATGGGGCAGTGATGGAATATAGAGGGATCCGACCTTCAATCTCATGCTGCGCGGACGGCGAGGGCAGGGTGCTGTGGGCGTCCTTGCCAGTGCCACTGGAGTCCAGTGGTAGACCGTGTAGATCAGCGAAATCTCTATCAAAGCTGACTCGACGACAAGCACGATGCGCAGGAAACTGTTCTTCAATGTCCTCGTCGATGACTATGGTGTCGAGGGGCCTTTTCGGCATGGTGGTCGTTGATATCCTGAAAGGAGAGAGCGGTTTCCCCTTTGGTCGAGTTTCAGCCACCGACGCGTTCGGAATCGCGGGAAGGATTTAGACGCTCATACGGCCCTATGCCCCGCAGTCTTATTTCACTCTAGACAAACCTTCCTCAAGACGGACAGCGGTATAAAAATGGGTCGCGATCCGACACCAGAGGAAATACGAAAAATTGCAAAGAGGGCAATACGGGCATTTTCTGACCTTGGATACGCCTGTTGTCTGTTTGGCAGTACAGCCTGCATGATGTATGGAGTCGAAAGATGTCCTAATGTGAGTCATCAAATTTTGAATCGAGCATTCTGTCCAGGTAGTTACTCAGTTTCGTGTGCACAGGACGTAGATATCATCGTCTTCGGGCACAATCTCGACCCCGAACACTTGAAAATCGAGCTCGCAAATGAGGACGACGACTTTTACTTGGCTTTCGCGCGAAGTCGTAATGCAAACTACAAAGTGGTGTGGTTTGATCTGTCCTCTGCTGCGGACGAACCTCGACGTAAGTGCAAAGTAGACATCCTTGTCCCGGGGATCCTGGAGATACCCAACACGCCTATCAAACGCATCAAGCATCAGCGAGGAATGCTCGTCCTGCCCATCCTACCCCTGCTCCTCATGAAGCTCAAGGGATGGAGTGACCACATCCAGGCTAAACGACCCGATTTGCGAGCGAAACGACATGTCGATGTTGAAGATATTGCGGAACTTCTCCGGATTGCCTGTCGCCGCGGCACCCGTATCCGCAGTCGCAGCCTTCGATGGCTACCTCTAGACTTCTTAGAGGCGGCTCAAGAACGTGTTTTAAAGTACACGAGAAAGTTCCCAGAGACGTCGGAACAGTGGATGCAGCTTGGGTTTGAAACCTAGCTGCAGAGAGTCGGGAGCAAGAAGCTGATTTCCTGGGTGTTTCCTGTACAAGAATAGAAACAGTGTTACATATACGAGGGGAAAAGATATTTATACCATATGCGATCATGAGTGCTCGGGGTTGACAGGGTGGAGCTGCATTTCACTACTTTTTAGTAAAGCGTCGTTGGCTAGGACTCGAAAGCTGGTCTTTACTTGAAAGCAATTACTCACTTAGAAGAATGCTGAGGAACTGAAGCATAGGTCCGGCTGGTCCTTCGGATTATATAGCTTCTGACAGTTATGGTCACATTGGGCGAAACATTAAAATGCTGCATCTGCTCACCGTACTCTGCTTAAAAGAGGACAGTCTTGACCCGTATGTACCTGAGATAAGCATCGGCGGGAATATGGTGATTAGCGCACACTCAGGTTGTATAGAGGCTTATTGTCCACACAAAAGTTCTTACTGTTGCCTGTCAGGCGGCACTGAGTCAATCAACAATGGGACCTAAATTCATACCAGTTTTCACTCAAATGGGATGCTCCGAGGTGAAGTCATCCTGTTTCATAATCCCATCTTGCACAGACAGACTGCACGAAATATGATCAGATATATCCCGCACATTTTTCCCTTTCTGCCGCTCAGAACACGTCTGGGGCTGGTTCAGATCTGCTATCATGGCTCAATTATGATCCAGAAGTCCAACAAGCAACGCGCACTCTATCACAGAGTCGAGGTAGAACTAAGAGGCGATGTGAGCTGCACATTGCGTCCGTATCCATTCGCGAACTTTACTCACCATTCGATGAGGGGTCCGATACTGCAGCGCGTTCGCCCATTCATGGGGCAAGATTCAGTGAACAGGAAACACCGACAGCATCCTCATTATGATTTTTATTATCTGAAAATCGCGATGAATCCTGCCAGCTGCCAGTGTCCAACTCGTCAACCTCGGATCGGTGAAATCAGCCCAAGAAGGCCGCATCATCCGAATATCACTATCGTGGTACGGGAAAATGATCCATGTTGAATGACGCAAGCTGATCAAATTCGTTGCCGTTCCCCACGAGAGCGACAAGTCTTTTACACCTGAGCAGTTTGTGAGCCGTTGAGTATTCGGGTGAGCCGGGTACTGCCGGCGTTTCAAGCTCTCGGCTGGCCGGCGGCTCAGCGCTGCAGCCACCGACGTGTCAAGTCGCGTGTTCTGCACAGTTGCTGTCGAGACTCGAGTGTCTCACAAAAGCAAATCAGCATGCAATGCGGCCAGTGCAATCAGTTCTCGCAAAAAATGGTATCCGCGGGAAAATTCCCAACACGAGGAGATCTGCTACTCTTGTCGCACTTCTTACTAGTACATGGAGACAGGCATGAGAAGAACTCCGAGCGTCCCACTCCGACACAGACTGCACGGATCACTTCTCAGGGTCCCTAGCGGACTGGTGAAAGTCGAGAACGTATGGGTCGCCTGCCAAAGTCTGTGAGCCAAGGAAAGACAAACCAACGTGTGATCAGCCAGAGGGCCCTGTCAAACCGAGATGGCCTCCACGACTTCTTCCGAGGCCTTCTCGGACGGGGTATCTTTCTCTTCTCGGCGGATATCTTCCACCACCGCGGCGACATCCTGCGAAATGTCCTTGTCGTCAAACAGCGCGGCGGTCTCCTCGAGTGTCCGGTTCTTGGTCTCGATGAGCATGAAGTAGAGGAAGACGAACTCGAACGCGATCCAGCAGCAGTAGAATATCTGAGGAAAGGGCACCATGTGAGCAGAGGACCTAACACGGACTGACAGTGGCCATCGGCCGCACATACATAGTACTTCCAGGCCAGCCTCTGCAGGGCCACGGGGTTGACATATTGATTGAATATGAGTGCCAGCGAGACTCCCACACTAAACACAGTGAGGCCCTTCGCGCGGAGGGAGTGCGGGAGAATCTCGCAGGTGTATGTGACAATCAGGGGCGTGAATGCGAGGCTGGGCCGCATGTGGGGTCAGCGATGCTGTGGTCCACCCTCGACGAGAACTCACTCGTAGAATCCGTAGAAGAGGAAAATGAACGCGATGACCGAGTGCGCGGCGGCGGGCTGCTGGTGGAGTGCATATTGCGCTGAGCATATCGTCTGCAGAATGAAAAAGACCAAACAGCCGCCCGTAGCCCATAGGAAGAGCGGGCGACGGCCGACTTTGTCTACCAAGAAGGAGGCCCAGATGGAGATGACCAAGTTCCATATGGCTAGAATGCTGCAGACCTATCAGCACCATGGAGTCAAGTGAGGTGCAATCGCGATCATACCCAGTGATAAGTAGTTGGGTGGTCGTACTGGTGATGCCTATGGTGTCGAAGACCTTGTTGAGGTAGTACGAAACCAGGCCATTCCCGGACCACTGCGAGAACCATCCGATAGCAACAGCGATGATAATACGCTTTCTATTACCGGGGGTGGCAAATAGTGTGAACCAATTGACGTTCTTATTGACTAAAGCAGCCCTGAGATTGTCGTCTCCAGATTCAGATAATCGACGCACCTTGACGATCAAACGCAATTGCGGCCTTGATCTCCTCGAACTCGAACTGCACGAGGGGGTCTTGTTCGTTTCCGTCCGCGTGGTAGTACGCAAGGATATGAAGCCCCTGCGCCTCTTTCCCCTTTGCGATCAGCCAACGAGGGCTCTCGGGCGCGAACATGACCAGGACAAGCTGAATGAAGGCCGGGATGCCCTGTATGATGGACGGGATGCGCCATGACCATTGGTTCGGGATGTATGCGGTGCCGTATGTGGTCCACGACGCACTGATAATCACACCCTTCGTCAGAGATGATAACGAAAAGCACAAGATACACCCACATTACGTTGCCGGAGTACCATAGGGAGTTATATAGGGAGGTTAAAGGTGCTCGATAAGGGGGATAAGAGATCTCGGTTACGAGCAACGGCGCAGCGTTAGCTAAAAGTATCGTCAGCATCGAACGCAGAGCATGCAGTGGTCGACATACTGGCGAAACAAACTCCGAATCCTACGAGGAAGCTGCTCTCAGACGTCAGGAACCCGACGCTCCGAGCCTTTCAGCGCCACGCACCGTCCGGCGATAAACATGCCGATGTTGTACGACGCAGACTGGACCGCGACACCGGCTATGGTGATGATCGCGCCGATAAATATTGTCGCTCTCCGCCCGATCCCGTCAGACAGGTACGGCGCAAATGGGTACGCCGCGAGCGACCCGATGTTCTAGTAAAGCGCGGCCCTCAACAACAGCACATGAGATCTGCGAGGGAGAAAGAATGACCTGCATCGCACTCAAGACTCCCAGGAGGGAGCCTGAAGGGCTGTGGAAGTAGTCTTCCCATTGGTACAGCGACTGGAAGCTGTTCATGAGACTGCCATCGAAGCCGTTCGCAGACGAGATGATAATGCTGGGGCGCGATCGTCAGTAACATATCCGAAGGAGCCATATCAGACATGCTGTTTACGTACATAAGCACGACCCATGCGTGTAGAGTAATGAGACTTCGCGAAGGGACGATCGTTGTGAGCGTCCGACGCCCGATGGACGAGATATTAAACACTAACCGACGGTTGTTGTACCATTTCCTATTCGGATCCAGAAGTTGCGCGACGCCCACACTAGCTTCCGCAGCCGCGGTGACGCCGACAGCCATGATACGTGTTCAACTACAAGGCCGGCTCCAAAGTGCGAGTGCAAGCAGCGCAAGAGGACAGCAGTGGCCGCGAGCCCGTCGCCCGACCCACCACGAGTCCATCCCGAACTTTATAGCCACGAAGGCATTGAATCCCTGCGAAGCTTTCACGAAGGGCGCGCGGTGGACGAGGATGTGGCCAGGTGATCGGCAGCTGCCCATTTTTCCAAGGATTCACCATGCGCATGACTGCCCCACTTTCCCCGGATTCCTCGCCGCTCCCTAGGGACGCGCTGCAGATGCGGGGCGAAGTAGTGTCAGGCACTACTTGCCCCGCGTCTGGTGGTGGAAGCGGGCGAGCGTATGTTCTCGTGGCCTACGCTGTGACCAAGATGCACTGTGAGTGGTGGCGCCCGTCGGCCTTTGCGAAACCGCGAGTAAGGTTGCGACCGTTCGATTCGCTAGAGAGAGAAGAACACACTCAGCAGGACGGCATGCGTGACCATGCGCATCGCGTCTGAGGTGGATGGCGTATTCTGAGTCTTAGTGTTGTACCCCAAGTCCCGCCCCATATGATACGCTCTTCGAAATATGAATCGTCCTTGTCGACATGAAACCACGGTTGAATGCAGAGATGCGGTGGTGAAGACAAGCCACCTTGGCGAGAATCTGTGATCTCACTGTCAGAGAGATCCAATTGAATAACAAATGCATGGCCGTGATCGTGCTGAGGTCCACCGAGATGTCTCCTTCTAGATTCCCATCCCTCCGGAAATGATGATTCAGCCATCGCGTCGATGGACATACTCGGGATGAACGCTTGAGGCTCCATCCTGATTAAATGCTCGTTCAGTTCCAGAAAAGGCGGACGGACCAAACCTACGGATCTTGCCTCTAAGAGACCAGAAGTCTACAAGGGCTATGTGGAGGGCGTTAGAAGACAGAGCTGCCTATTGTTGTGTCCGAGGAAGGGGGATGTCCCCCTGTGTTACCCGTTTTCGACAAATCGACGCACAGCCAAGGAACCCGGGTACAGACTGAATCGCAGAGACGAAGCCTGGCTCTGGACGCAACATGTCAGAATATATCATTTGGCTCACATGGTCAATTCAAATACTTGTCTTGGGTCAAGTCGCGATTGCAAATAGGTTATACACTGTCCAAAAGATAAGAGAAGCTCAGGTGAGGTTGTTGTCCACGTACCGCACCTCAGACCATCGGATACATACATACGGATCCGGGACATTCCCATGGACGATGCGTTGACAAGATTGTTATATGGCCCAGTTCTGACTATGGCCCAGTTCTGACAGAGCCTATCAGATCATGGGCATGACACACCTCACACGGCTAATTCGAGATACTGCGTAGACGAGTAATATTGAGATTGTAAAGTAATGCAATAACTGACAGCACCAAAGTGGTATCCCGGCGACACAATCCCAGTGCCACGCGTGCGGTATCAACCCAAGTTTCCACGCTCCAATCCATGCAAAGCCAATGTAAGGGGTATAGTCACGCATCCTACGTCACGCTCAGTACGACTGCTAACGGAGGAGCCGGGCTAGACTCACCGCAGGAGTTCCATCACCGCTGTATGAACCCAATCACTCGCAAATTAGTCTTCGAGGTGGGATACTCCTCTGCATACTCGGCAAGCCTGCACCACGCCGCATCCATCGTCGTCATGGGTATCCACTGCGCGCCCCCTCTGCTCACGTTCTCGCCGCGACCCCTTACGATCGACAGCAGCTCGCTGATATAACGTACGTCGTCGTTGTGCTGCGTCGACTGCATGTAGGAGCGGCTGGAGATGCGACGGTCTGACCAGGTCCGCAGCTTTGTGAACAGCAGGAGGACGGGGTGCAAGACGAGCACGTCCCCGATCTTTTCGAGCCGGTCCCGCTGGACGACGGGGAGGTCGAGCATGCTGGGGACGAGGACGTTCACCTTGCAGCCCCGCTTGCGTTCGTCAGACTTGGACGGGAGCTTGCTGCAGAGAACCTTGGGCGCGTCTGGCGAGCCCTTGGGTTGAATGAGATAAAAGTCCTTGTCTTCCGCGGTGAGCATCTCTTCCAGCTTGCGCGGGGGGTGATCTTCGCTCAAGACGATAATGTCCAGCTCCTTGGAAACATGAGCGCCACGCCTGGGAGAACCGAGACAAGGCTTGACTGACCAGAAAGATGTGAGATTGCCTCGAGGTTCCATAGAGCAGACAAGCGGCGTTGCCCGTGATGCAGCTGACGAGATTCTTGGACTTGAACGTCGAAATTGCCCGCTTGGCGACGGCACAGATCTCCTCGACGGTGGGGGAGCGCTGCATGTTAGAACAGTCTAGGATATGGCGCAACCGGAGGTCCAAACGACACGTCGGGGTGAGAGGGAGAGAGGCGAAGGTCGGGTTACATGACGAGATAGGCGAGGGTGCGACGACGTCTGCCGAAACTCATCCTGGAGCCACAATGGGCGCTTATACTCATGAGCGCTTGGATCGACTCGGCACTGGTAAAGGAATGGCACATGGACACTGCCAGGACAGCATCCAACTTGTGGACAACGCGCACCGTCGCCAAGTCTAACCCAGCCAGTAAATTGAACAATTAACGCCATCGTGCTGATGTTGCCTATAATATACAAGCGACTGCCTAAACAGGATCATGGAAAGCGGCCACCACCTAGTATGTAACCACTCGCTGTCGACGCCTGCATGTGTTCTGTGTGGAATTCAACGTTCAACGTCAACGCTCGCGTCTCTGTGAGCTACCACTGGGTTCAGAGGTCTACTCAATCCGCCTGATTTATGTGTCGTCTCACCTCGGTCATCAAGTTGTTCCGTAGCCAGGTCTATATCTTTAGAGACCGCAGATGTTCTCCTACCAGACATCGGCCAGACATACCTATGGGAATAGAATCAGGTGTGCGCGCTCCGTTGGGTATCGCGCAGACAAACTGAGTCATTGACGGCATCGATATGACCGCGTACTCTAGGCCCTCGCAGGACCTGGAGTTATAAACGGCACCTTCATGAACATAACAACGGCGGTGTTCCGTATCACTCGAGCAGCGAGAAGGAAGCTCACCCCGATTGGGCACAGTGGATCCTGCATGTACGTGTCCATCGAGGAAGCTCGCGATAAGGAGAAGCATCCGCAAAGTTATATGAACACGCGCAGGCCATGCCCGCCGCACAGCGCACCCCCGCTTCCACCAATGTACAACCGGCCACCGACCGAAGATGAGATTCTCGACATCGCTCGCAGGGCGGTGGCCCTCTTCAAGTCGCACGGCCTCTCCTGCTGCCTGACGGGCGGCGTCGCATGCGTCCTGTACGGTACGACACGACGCCCGAACGTGCGTATGCCCCCACGTCTCCACTACGTATCAGCGCATGACGCCTCCCCCCCCCCC